GGAATAAGCTCCCATCCCCAAGGGAGTTCGAGCCTGTGCTAACTGAGCCCTGTCAGAGAGCCAGCAAGGCCATTTGTAGCCTGGGGAGGGGTCGACCTGAATGCCAGAACAGAGTTTAGGCTAGACCTCAGATTACACTTGTCCTGGGTCCTCTTGAAAGAAACAACATCAACTCCCTGCCTTCAACCACCCATCCAGCCACTATCCCACCCATCCACCTATCCGCCCACCCAGCCACCTATCCGCCCACCCAGCCACCTATCCTCCCACCCAGCCACCTATCCTCCCACCCAGCCACCTANTCTGCCCACCCAGCCACCCATCCGCCCACCCAGCCACCTATCCGCCCACCCACTCGTCCATCCATCCACCCATCCACTCCATTCTCTATTCGCCCATCCATCCACCTATCATCCTTCCATCCATCCATCCATCTGTCCACCCATCCACCCCTCCATCTACCCATCATCCATCCATCCATCACTCCATCCTCCAGCAAATGCTGCTCCATGGTTAGCATGACCAGGGCTGGGCTGTGGGAGGAGGATCCTTAGAGAAATGGAAATGTGTTCCTCCACTGGAGGAACTCGCAGTCCATCAGGCCAGGACAGGCAGGGCAGGCATCAAATGCCAAGGGTGGGGGTGGGGCTTTGAGTGCCCCTGAAGGCAGTGGAGGGTCAGGGAGGGTTTCTGGGCAAAGCAGTGCTATGGTGCCTTCCGCATTCAGTCAGTCCCTCTGAATGGAGGGTGGAGGGTGGGCCGAGGGGGAGAAGCCAGGCCCCAGAGACGGAGATGGGCCAGCTGACCTGGCAGATAGCTGAGGCTTGGTATGAACCTGGCAGTGGCCAGCTGGGGAGGAGGGTGCAGGCAGGGGCCATGGTTCCAGCTCAGGTAATGGGGGAGGGTGGCTTCAGGCACCTGGCCAGCCTGGAGAGGGGCGTGGAGGTTCCTCGTGTCCTCCCCTGACTGTGGCAGGCAATGGGAGAGAGGGAATGAGGGGCCCCATCAGAGCCTCCATCGGTGCTTATAGTCTTAAACGGCATGGATGGTTTTTACACAAATTCCTTCATTTCAACTTCCCGGCAACCTGCGGACTGGGAACAGTCATCATTCCAATTGACAGATTAGACACTGAGGCTCAGAAAGGGAAAACGACTGGCCAACGGCCACACTGCAAGTGACTGACAGGGCCGGGGCTCCCCTGGGTCTGCATGATGGCCCTGTCCTGGCCACAGGGCTGTGGGATTCCCACAAACGAGGACTCCCGGGCTAATGGAAGTGAGCTGCCCCCCGAGACCACACATTGCCTTTGACCGGGCTCAAATCTGATCTCCACATCAGGGGCCAATGGGGAGGGTGGTGGATTCACAAAGAGGTGGCAGGAGGGGAGGGCAGCTGCCTAACTAGGGCATATATTCTGCCCTGCCTGGGTCATGTCTGACCTGGGTGTGGCGCTGCTTTTCTACCTGCCGGTGGGGTGCTGGGCTCAGGGATGGGCTAGGACAGGGCCCAGTCTGCCCGTGGGAAGGCTATGTGTGCCCCTCTCCCAGCTGCCACTCCCACCCAGAGCATGCTCCCTGCTGTCCTTGGCCTCTGAGGTCTTCCCTCACTTTCAAAGTCAGGGCAAAGGGCCTCAGCTGACAGCACGCCGGTGCCTCCTACCCTCAGCGCCACCCCACCCGGGCTCCAGGCCACCTCACTGTGATGTGCGTGGAGCTTGCTGTGCAATGGAGACACGTGCTTTGCCAAGCACCTGCTAGTTTTCACAGCCACCCTCTGGGGTAGCTGTTCCTCTGCCCAGGCTACAGATGAAAGAAAGGGGGATCAGAGTGCCTCCTTGGTAGACATGGGTCACGCGGGAGGTCAGGTGGAGCCAGGACTGGGCTCAGTCTATCAGGCTTCAGACCCAGACAGTCCCTGGCTCCTCTCGCAACATCTGGGTGCGTCTGTGGACCAAGCCCTGGGGATGGGCTGCTCCCGCTGCTGTGTGTGCACCTCCCGCCATGCGGCCCCATTGTTTAATTTGTAGTCACCACGGTCTCTCCCTTTGCTTTCTTGCAACCTTCCCTCTGCCTTGTACAACTAGCCTCAGCCCACAAGGCCAGGTCATTCTGCCCTTCCAACCTGTAAACAGGAAACCAAAGTCTAGAGGGACAAGGGGGCCACCCCAAGACCACACATGTAGAGAAAAACAAGGCTAAGACCAAAACCCAGGCTGCCTGGTACCAGTCCAGAGCTTCTTCCAGCATCTCGTCCTACCTTGAGATCAGAGCATGACTCCCTACCCCACAGCAGGGCTCACCCACCAGCCTTCCACACAGCCTCACACCCAGCCTGCCCACCCATCCACTCCTGCACCCATCCCCCCATCCCCCCCAACTTTTCCAGTATCCATCCCTCTGTTCACAAATTCTCGCATCCATTCATTCTTCTCTCCATCCACCCGCTCTCTCAAACATCATACAACTAACACCCAGCACCCATCCATCCGTCTGTCCGTCCACCCACTCAACCCAATCCATCCACCCACCCACTCACTCACTCACTCACCCACACGTCCATCCATCCATTCATCCATTTACCCATC